CATTGCAAACTCAGTATAATTCAATAAAAAGAAAGAAATAAAAAAGAATAAAAGACATGGAGAGTAGCTTTACTCATATCAGACAAAACAGACTTTAAAACAAAAACTAATAAAAGACAAATAAGAATGTTACATAATGATAAAGAGGTCAATTCAACAAAAATATATAACATTTATAAATATATATGAACCCAACAGGCGAGCACCAGAATATATAAAGTAAATATTAATGGACTTAAAGGGAGAAACTGAAAGCAATATAACAATAGTAGGGGACTTTAACACCCACTTAAATTAATGCATGATCATCTAGACAGAAAATAAGGAAACAGTAGAAATAAATGACACATTATATCAGATTGACTCAGGAGATGTATTCCTATGATATATATGTTCCATCCTAAAGCAGGAGAATACATAGTCTTCTCAAGTGCACATGGAACAATATCCAGGATAGATCACATATTAGGTTGCAAAGCAAGTGTCAATGAATTCATGAAGATTGAAATTATATCAAGCTGTGAATTATCAATTATACCAAGCTGAGTTATTCTCTGACCACAATAGTATGAAACTGGAAATCAATGACACGGGAAAAAAGAGAAAAACATGAAGACATGGAGATTAAATAAAATGTTACTGAACCATCATCAATGGATAATAGAAGAAATCAAAGAAAAAATACCTGAAGACAAATGAAAACAAATATGACATACTAAAATCTACAGGATGCTGAAAAGCAGCTCAAAGAGAGAAGTTCATAGCAAAACAATCCTCAAAACAATAAAACCTCAAAAAAAAGTAACTTTATACCTAAAGGAACTATAAAAAGAACAAACAAAGCCAACATTAGTAAAAGAAATGAAATTAAAAAGATCAGAATGGAAATAAATAAAATAGAGACTAAAAACAATGTAGAAAATATCAATGAAAATAGGAGATGTGTTTTTGAAAAGATAAACAAAATAAACAAAGTAGCTAGGCTAACCAAGAAAAATAGAGGGGACTCAAATAAATAAATAAGAGGGGAAAGAGGGGAATTTACAACTCATACCACAGAAACACAAAGAATCATAAGAGACTACTATAAAATATTATATGCCAACAAATTGGACAATCTAGAAAAAAAATGAATAAATTTCAAGAAACCTACAATCTTCCAAGACTGAATAATCAAGAAATAGAAAATCTGAATAGGCTGATTACTAGTATAAAAAATGAACCCATAATAAAAAAAACTCCCAAGAAACAAAAGCCCAGGGCCAGCCGATTTTTACTGATGAATTCTACAAAACACTCAAAGGAGATTTAATTCCTATCCTTCTCAACTTCTTCCCAAAAACTGAAGTGGAGGGAAACCTTCCAAACACATTTTATGAAGCCAGCATTACCCTGATACCAAAATCAGACAAGGCCATAACAAAAAATAAATTTACAAGCCAAAATCCTTGGTGAACATTGAAACAAAAATTCTCAACAAAATTCAGCAAACTGAATCCATCAGTATATTAAAAGAATCATACATCAGAATCAAATGGGATTTATTCCAGGAATGCAAGGATAGTTCAACACCTGCAAATCAATTGATGTGATACATCTTATTAACAAATGAAGGATAAAAACCATATGAACATCTTGATAGTTGCAGAAAAAATATTTGACAAAATTCAACATCCATTTTTGAAAAATGTTTAAGTAAGTGGGTACAGAGGAAATGTATCTCAAAATAGTAAAGGTCATATATGACAAACCCACAGCTAACATCATACTTAAAAGTGAAAAGCTTAAAGCATTCCCTCTAAGATCAGGAAGAAGACAAGGATGCCCACTCTCACAACTTTTATTTAACGTAGTATTGAAGTCCTAGTGACATCAATTTGGGAAGAAAAAGAAATAAAGACATACAAATTGGAAAGGAAGAAGTAAAACTATCACTGTTTGCAGTTTACACAAGCACACACAAAAACCTATTAGAACTAATGAACAAATTCAGTAAAGTTGCAGGATATAAAATTAATATACAGAAACATGTTGTGTTCTATAAACTACTAACAAACTATCAGAAAGAGAAATGAAGAAAACAGTAAGATTTACAATTGTACCAAAAAAGATCAAAATATCTAGAAATAAATTTAACCAAGGAGATGAAATCCCTGTACACTGAAAACTGTAAGACAATGATGAAAGAAACTGAAGACACAAACAAATGAACGGCTGGATAAAAAAATTTGGTATGTATATATAAATATATATTAGTCTTAAATTATATAACCCTCTTCCCTCAGAGGTCCCTGAAAATCATGGAAACCTCCCTCCATCTCCAAATAAATCACCAGAACAGGCACCCATACAGAGGCAGTAGATTCTTCTTCCAACTTGTGACAAAATTATCTTTCTATAAATTATTGACATTTAGAACTTCAAATAATCCCTAGAAGTCGTCAAACAACCACTTGACCACCAACTAAACACAGAGAGAAGCCTGACATGACTTCCTTTTTTTATTTTTAAATACCTTCAGAGAGTTAATGAAGTTAAAATTATACCTAGCTTTATAATAACTACTTAGTTTCTTTTCATGAGCAGTTCTAAAATGGTATGATTAATTTTACACATGCAGCCATCAAAGTAACTTTCATGATGCCAGCTACATTCTTGACCATATTTAGTTAGAAATACGCTGCCAGATTGAGTCATTTTTTGTGTGCAAAACCTGTTTTATTTTCAGAACAATCATTAATGCTTCTTACATCAATGCTTCTTAAAATACAGCACAGGATTATTCACTCCAAGGATGGTGAGCTAGTTCATTCTAGAAAACAAACCATCCAACTAAAAAGTAATTTTTCTGCCTGTCATAAATATAGCTAAAAAACATGAATGTTCTTTCCTGAACACGATTGATTTCATCTTATATGTACACCTTCTAATGAAGTTTTACAACTTCCTTAAACTGTTGATTAAGCAAATAAAATCAGTTTTTCATACACATTTTAGCTAAAATGATACTTCATGTGCAAATTATATACAATGAATGTTTCTTACAAGCTTATTATACATGTATATTTTCTCTGCTTCTCAGACTATTACTAAACTACACTTTCACTCTTAACCTATGAAAGAAATACTCTTTTGAATCTACTTCACTTTTTGAGAAATGACTTTCTTTGCAAATCAGTAGTTCCTTGGTTATCAATGACTATCGGAGTGGTTTTTTTTGTTTGTTTGTTTTTTAGCACTGAGATCTTATGTCTGGTGCTACAGTTTATAAAGTCAGGAATATTACTGAGGTGAGGCCGAAATGTAAACTTGGCAAGACCATTGCTTCCTTTCCCCAAAATCATCTCCTCTTTTCACCTAGTAATAATTTGATGTTGGCAGTAGCTGCTTCACCTTTACTTACTCGTTTTAGTACTGTTTAATAGGATAAGGATTTAAAAAGATCATGTACCAAATGAGCAGGGGATACACAGACATTTCCATACACAATTAGATCTATATTTTCTGATGGCATGATCTTATAAAGTTAGTTCAAACTGAGGAAAAATAAAAATTCTGCATCCATATACTATTATTTCTAAACCATTCTAATGTGGTAATCACCAGAGGCACCAGAGGAGGAGGGAGCAAAAGCCATGCTGTATTTTTTTTCGTCCTAATCAAAGGAGTAGTATGTTGTGTAGTTAGTGTATTGCCATCTTTCTCTACTATGTCATTCTCAGCCACTGTAATCCCAGTTTTTATGGGTTTTTTTCCTGCATTTTCTCTAAACAAATCACATCTTATTTTTATTTCAGTGATGTGAATTGTTTGCCACACACGAAAGCTCTTACATGATATATTTTTTAAGTCATGAAATTCCTCACAATTAGGAACGTATTCCAAGGCAATGAAAATGTGGGCTGGTAAACTGTTCCCAAACCCTGGACATTTGTTTTGTGTTGCATAGTAGACATGATGTCCCCCACAATGAATGAGTCTGTGACTTCAGTAAGAGCATTAAAACATAAAATCCAATAAAAATTGTGATTACAAATAATATTGTTTTCAACCTTATGCAAAAATGGATTTAAGGCAAAATTATAAATTAATGAGATTTAGTTCTATGTGTTTGCAGAAGAGAAATTTCATTATCTCATAATCACTTGCTATAAATTATATGTATAATTATTTATGGGCATATATACGGTGCAATCATTCTAAGTCACCAATCACCTGAATCAAATGTTATAAAACAGGACATTACATACTGAAAAAATTTAAAAGTAAACTAAATAAAATTTAGCTAAATGTATGTTTACTACCATAAGATCTATATAAATGTGAAAAACATAAATATAATTATAATTTTTTAGGTTTGCTTGCTTGTCATATTAGCCCTGAGAAAATGCATTTCTTAAAACCACAAAGGAAGTACTTCTATCAATGGGAAAATGATTTATTTACCTGGATCTTCTATGGTTAAGTTCTTTATTAACCATTGAACAATGTCCGACCCTGGAAAAAGAAAAAGAGGAGAATACAAATATATGTGAACATTTGTTTATAAATGTTAACTTTAAGAACTCAACATTTGGCATTGATATTAGTAGGAATGTGTCTAATTGTTATAGAAAGATCATCCACATATGAAATATTGAAAACAGACTTTGAATACATTGTTCTTCAATGAGCCAAGCTGCAAACTAGTCAGTTATTAAATATGAAATATTTAAGCATGAAGATTTAATATACTAGCAGTGGATAAAGTGATTCATTGATTTGTTCATTGAATGAATGTTTATCGAGTGCCTAACATGTTTCAAGCGCAATTCTTAGCATGGCGTAACCAACACTCTATAAGATGATCCCTGTCTCATTTCTGTTTCATCCCTGTATCAACCCTCAAGCCAGCCTAAACGTGTTGTCAAGTTTTGGAGCACTCCTGTGTGTGTCAAGGCCCTGTGTCTTTTTAGTGCCATTCTCTTTGACCGAAAGGTCTTTCCACTATTTTCAAGACTCTCAAGATTCATTTACACAATAGGATGTTCCTTAACCTTCACCTTTGTCCACTGAGTTTACAACACTCTCCCCAGAATCTCACTGGAAGGATTACGTATCTTGAAGCAGGGTATCATACTCATCTTTGTATCTCTGGAGCATAGCAAGAACTTAACAATGTGTGATGAATAAAAAACATGAGTGACTATGTTTTTACTTCATACAGGAGAGATGAGGGAGAGTGTGCAGAAAATGTAATTTTGAGATCGATTTTAATGTAAAGAAGGATGGAAATTTAGCTGCTGAAAAGACTTGTGTCAAAGTTAAAAAGTAGAGAACAGTCCATAAAAACCACTTACAGCACACTTTCTATATACTAGGTGCTGGGAATAATAGGAACATGAAACTAATCAGAGTTCACAGTATATTTAGCAGGTCTTGAATTCCAGGCTAAAGAATTTGGAGTTTTTTTCTATAAGTCAGGCAGAGAAAGACACATGTCATGTTTTTTTGAGCAGAAGAGTAATGTTTTCAAAGCCAGTTTAAGGAATGTAACTGGCAGTGTGTGTCTAGAGCCTTAGATCCATCCAAAAAAAAAAAAAAAAAAAAGAAGGCAGGGCAGCCAACATTTCTACTGGTTGTTATGCAGGATTGAAAGTATAAGGTCCTGAACTAGTTCAGTGCACAAATTAGGACAAAATTAGACTTGTTTCAGGACACTGCAACTAATTAGGTCTGGGGTTGGCCAGGGGGAGAATTAAGTGGACTCAAGGTTTCCAGTCCAGGAGCATCATGGATGAATAGACCTTAACTCCAAGTTGATCGAGGTAGAGACAGAGAAAGAGAAAAACATTCCAGCATCTAATGGAAGCAAAAGGTTGAAAGAGTGCTATCCTAGTCATGTTGAGAACTGATTCAATGGTATCACAGCCAACAGGGGTGTAAGAGGGAATGGCTCCTTTCTAGCAAGTTCTCAGCTTTAATTTCTCAGCATTAATAAATAAGTGGGTGGATCTGCTAAAATTTTCATGTACAAATGTATATATCCAGAACGTTTTAGAGTTTATTCTGAAGACATTGGAGTAACATGCAGGATTTGGGAATTTGTTTTGTTTTGTTTCGGTTTTCGGTTTTTCTTTCTTCTTTCCTTTAAAAATCTTTTTGGCATTAGAGCTATTGATTAGCTCCAATGTGAAACTAGTTAAGAGATGCGGCAGTACCTAATACCCTAAGAATAAAAGTCAACTCAATTACAGCCTCTGGAAAGTTTAGCCCTGATCAATGCCCATAGTCCTGTCTTGAATTCTTAGAGGCATATATCACTTTTAGAGTTACAAAATTATGTGTTCTCTCTACTTAGCAGAAGCAGTGAAAGTTTTCTTATTGTGTAATTCCATGATCTATTTTTGAAATGAAAACAAGCAAAACAAGCAAGCAAAAGTTGTCACACACTGCTCATAATTCTCCACATGCCATATTGTTTCTTACTTCCACGACTTTGTTCATACTATTCTGTCTCTGTCTCTGTCTCTTTTTCCTTCGGTCAATCCCAACTGACTTCGTAAAGTTCAGTTCATATATTAAGCCTACTCTGCTCACCCCCTACATCACCTTATTACGTAAATTCTTTCTCCTCTAAGTCCTATTAATATGCTCATCACTCATTGCACCTGTCAATGGTTTTATCATCCTCTGTTAATTTCTGTCTGTCTTCCCCTTTGGCAGTAACACACACTGCCAGTTACATTCCTTAAACTGGCCTTGAAAACATTGAAGTAGGGGTGTATGTTATTCATTTTTGGATCTCAAACACCCAGACCAGTGCCTGACATACAAAAGGTGATCAGTAATATTAAAAACATAGATGAACAAACAGCAAGATCCACCCCCGCCGCCATATCTTACTCTAAGGGAGTTTACAAAATGATGGCATCCATGTACAAAGAATGGTTGACTGGCATGTAATTTTCAGCTACTGTAATCACCCTCTCCAATGATAATTTTCCCTTTCCAAGATGATCACTTCACCGCTCCATCCATCATTAAAGCAAAGAAACAACAAATTATTAGACATCAATATTATTTCCTCCCCCATGCTATGGACCTGAGTAGTGAAGGGGCTTCCCCAAGTCTGCTCTGTTGAGGAGTGCCGAGACCCAGACTAGGCTCCGTCCAGCGCCTACTCTACTTCCACGGCAGGCCGTGGCCCCGCCACAGATTAAGCTCACCTCAGCTACGAGTGACAGCTACAGCCATTCACACCCTGAACCTGAAACTGAGGTTCCCCAAAAGAAAAACTATTGTGAGATTTTGCAAACATGTACTATAAGGACTCTGTAAGCAACCAAAATGTTCCAATTAAAACCTCTCTTTTTGTAATTTCTGTTAAAGCTACTAATGAAAAACTTCAGCTCTTCATCATCATGGAAGGGGTCTAAATATTCCTGAGGTAAAGACATTGACTTTTACAATATTTCTCTTTCAGGAAAATGAGTAGGTTCTTAGCACTGTCTAAACTGCCACACAGACACAGTGCTGGCAATCAAATATATTTTATGTAATAAATACTATAAATAATTTATGTTTTTGATGAGATAACTACTCTCAGGATCTCTCGCTAAATATGACAACCTATATATCTGGAAAATACTTTCCCAACATTATGCACGGTCCTTTGAAATAGGAACTTTACATATTTATCATCATCATCATCATCATCAAATAGTATATAAAGAACATTTCTTGAGTTTCTATGAAAATCTGGTGTAGACCTACAGTTCTGGGGACAAAAAGAAAGATGGTAGGGTGAAGCAGAGTCACTTTGAGGGAAGAGACAATACTAATCACACTTCTCCCATTCTCTTCAAAGTGCTACAACACAGACCACTGTTAAACGTTTACTGAAGGCATAGATCAATGTTTATAGACATGTACTTTATGCGCAAAGGACCCAAAACACTGAAAAATCAGCTCTAACAGTGATTTCCATCCAGCATTTAATGACACCCCAGTGTATCTCTAATTGTCATTAATTTAAAAAAAATTCTTCAAGCAAACAAGTTTGTCAGTTTAATTTCTTTAATTGCATAATTTCTTTAAGATTTAAAAAACAAAGGTTTTTTTTTTGTTAGCTGACATATTACCCATTTGTAAAGCTGAAAGAATGAACTGCATCTTTCCTTAATCTTTAAAAAAGTAATTGCTAATATCTAAAAACATTTTGTTTCTGATGATTACTCGTGTTCCTACTTGCTGATGTAGGCAACTCTACCTTAAATGCAGCTGCACGATCACTGACAGGTCTGAGGATCCAATAAGGCATCCAGTGTCTAAATCCACTAATAGATCATTTCTAGCATTTTGCTACTGAGACACCCCTTGGCTTCCCCATGGTTTGTGTTCTCTCTCACTACAGAGTAATATACTTGACTTGTTCAATTATAGGTGTGTTCCTGGTGGTCTTTGGCTGGAAGGCACTGACTTTTTTTTTTCCAACTGAAGTATAATTGACATAAAACATTATATTAGTTTCAGGTGTACAACATAATGATTCAATATTTGTATATATCATGAAATCATCACCACAGTAACTCCAGTTAACAAGCACCACCAGAAATAATAGCAAAGTTTTTTTTTCTTGCAGCAAGGACTTTTAACACCTACTCTCTTAGCAACTTTCAAATATACAATATAGTACTATTAACTATATTCAATACATTGTACATTATATCTCCAGGACTTACTTATTTATAACTGTAAGTCTGTACCTTTTGACCCCCTTCACAGCATCTCTCCCATCTATCCCCCACTCCCTGCCTCTAGCAACCACCTATCTGTTCTCTGAATCTATGAGTATGGGTTTTTGTTGTTGTTTTAGATTCCTCATATAAGTGAGATTATATGGTGTTTGCCTTTTGCTGTTTGACTTATTTTCTTTAGCAGAATATCCTCAAGGTCCATCCATGGTGTTGCAAATGGCAAAAATTCCTTCTTTTTTATGGCTGAATAATATTCTATTGTGTACAGAAACAATATCTTCTCCATTCATCCATTGAAGAACACTTAGGCTGTTTCCATACATTGGCTATTGTAAATAATGCTGCAGTGAACTTGAGGGTGCAGATATCTTTTCAAGTCAGTGTTTTTGGTTCCTTCAGATAAATACCTACAAATGGAATTGTTGGATCATATGGTAGTTCTACTCTCGGTTTTTTGAAGAATCTCCACTGATATTTTCAAATAAGAAATTGCTAATATCTAAGATTAATATAGCAACAATAAAATTTGAGTTATTTCATAAGGACACTTATGATTACAAAGAACAGTCTTTGAGGGAAGCATAAAAAATAAACAAATAAATTAACGAATTTACTAAAAGGTACCTGGAACCAAAAGGAAGGGATATATTTGGGCCTCAAAGACAAATGGAAACAGGACTCTGACAACATCAGAATCTCCTCTCCTGCTCTTATCTTGGTTCCTTTCTGGACTTATTTCTCTGAAAACCAGTCTTTGCC